CTGTGGAAAAAGTTGTCAGTAAACCTGAAAAAAATAGTCATAAGACAGGTAGGCAAACAAAGGCGCGCGGTGAAGAAAAAAAAGAGGGACATCGACAACGCCAGTATCGACAGAACATGGGTCAACACTAGTAAGGACATGCTGAAGCCTAGCACCATCACAAGATTGACAGCACTAGACTCACCCAGCAAAATTGTGCCTCCCAGCACAGAGTCCCCGGACGAAACAGGTCCCCAGAAGCTCTATAGGTTATTGGACTCCCGTCAACAAAGTTAAAAAGGACTGTCTATCACCGTCTAGAAAGCAGAACATCCCAGGTATTGTAGTGAAATCTAGTGGTGATTTTGTCATACAGTCTACCCCTAATACCGTCCCATCAGTCAGTAAAAAATCTGAAACGCACTTCGATTACCAAATAAAGTTGCATCCTGAACGTATACGAAAACCTGGGAAAACAATCAGGGTTCGCGACGGTTTTCGTAATCATGAACCTTAAAGACAGCTCTGACCTTCTCCCCAGTCTGCATGGCAAAAGCGACAGGATGCTTTGGGAAAGAGTTAAACAGTAAGCTCGAACTTCCCAATATAGAGCCTCTGACTCATACGGCTCACTCGGGGAAAGGATTCCAAGAATCAAAACCACCCAAGACTAGATCGGCGCAACTCTCACTAACGCTGCCGACGCAGTGGATGTTCTGCTGGCTAGTCACTCACTGAAATCAGGTGGGAATGTAGAAATACTACCTGTCATACTGTATTCTGAGAGCGATCTCATCAGGTCCATTCAAATAAGGCTTATACAGATAGACAGGATGGGGAAGATCATGGGTTTCGAACTGAAAGCATAAATTAGTTATACATGAATGCCACGAGTTTACCAAATAAAATGGATGAGCTGTGTGAATTTAGTAGTGCTTATGATGCTCATTCGATAAGAATATCTCAATTTACGTACCGGGAACTAGCAATATTCGGAAAATCTTTATTTCGCAACGACAGAAAAACAGGGATGGGGGTGGAGCAACCTTGTACCTGGGATCTTGCTTGGAAGTACATCAAATGCACGACCAAGAGTTTATCAATCTTGATAAATCTGTATGTGTTCTATCCACTTCCAGCGCTTCTGATTTTCTCCTCTGCTGGAATCTGGTTTATTCTCTCCAACAATAGGTTACTTCTGATAGTGTTTGGCCAACGGATCCGAAGTATTTCGCTCCGACAACTGTTAATAACCACTCGTATCTTTTAGATGATGGATTTCATAGTTCTACAAGTTTCCGCCCCATACAGTATTGAAAATTCTGACCTTGGTGTTGGTTGACAGTTGTTTTGAGTTCCAGATGTTCTTCAATCATATATATGCTGCTCTTGCTTTGCCGATCCGCGCCTTCAAATCTGCATCAGATCCACCGTGCTCATTAATGAGGCTGCCCAGGTATGTAGAGGTTTTTGCATCTTCCAAAGCTCCCCGTCAAGTGTGATTTCATTGGTGCATGTTGTATCGGGGAATCTTGCTTTCCCTTTTGTATACGTTGAAACCTACTGCTGCTGCTACGCTGGTCGTCTTATGCATTTGTTGTTGCGTATGCGATAAAAGAACCAGATCATCTGTGACGTTTTGGTCGTCCAGCAGTATCCTGTGCTTACCTCAGATGATGTCTTCATAATCCAGCCGATCACCAGGAGAAAGGGTCAGAGTGAGCAACCTTGCTTGACACCGGTCTTTACTTCGAACGAGTCTGTGAGCTGTCCTCCATGCACGATTTTGCAGTTTAATAAGATTTGTTGACTATCTTCTTAAGCACGCCAGTGTCGAAGAAGCGATGCATATATATATATATATCCTGAGTCATAAATTTACACATCACTTTTCGTGTATTGGTTTTTAAAGCCTGCATTATTGCTTTATCTTCCAGAATAGATATAAAGTCCCTCATTCTTTTTTCCATACACTCGTAAACTAGTAGCGGGTGTATCATCATTATATTTACATCCAAAAGTGCAATTTATTCATCTGTAAAGATTATTCAGTAGACATCTTGATTTACAATCCAGGCTTTTCAGAAAAATTGCAGATAATTGTCCGGGTGGGAAGCACGGGATATTGTTAACTTAAAGCGAAATTCATGAGGCGTTACTCTAATTCTGATTGGTCAACCCAAGGTTGTCATTATGTTGTACTTTTACCATTTTTTTATTTGCACACTGCCGTTTCAGTTTTAGATATTATTATATCTTGTTTAAGCTTTCGTTGGAGTTTACTACGCGAGCGACCGACTAGACTAATTATTCTTGCTATAGGTAAGATCTAGTAGTGACTTGATCACGGTGTTCAAATTGGTTAGTCATAATTCTTCACTTAAAATGCCATCATATCTCATGTCCTTCAGAACAGAGAAACTAGAAGGACACTACGTGGAGATTCACAAGCCCAGAAACTAGTACTTGTGGGGTGACAACCAACTTTTCTATAGAAACATCAAACGGTGGAACTCCCTAAAACCACACGTAGACTCATGTAGAAGAAATTTAGATTCGATAAGAGACCCCATCACCAGGACTTACATAACTCATCCATTGCTTTGTCTTTATCAAACTGAATAAAAACAGAGGAAATCAAACCACATGTTACTTATCACTAGGAATATATAATCCGGGTCGCTACACAAACACCAATTCAACCAAAGAACCCGAACTACTACCTAAGTAAGTGAATCTGCAATATGTGCGGTACAGAACTGCACCTTTCTATCGTTGAAAACGCTCTTTTACCACTCAGACTCATCAATGAACAGATAGTTCGCTTATTCTGCCGAGCAAAGTTTGAGTTGGTTTATATTATCTAGTCAAGGTATTGAACATAATACCTTGTCTTGCTTTACGTAGATTTTCAACTCTTTAACAGATGGTTAGTTATAATTATTTCGAGACCATTATACTGACGATATTGACGCAAAAACATTCTATTACAGAGAGACAAAGAGTGAATATATTGAAAAGGAAGAAAGTCCTGAAAATACGATAATATATAAAACCCATAACTTGTAAAGATGGTCTCTAGTTGTACTCTCTTATTCCATTTTGAGACACAAACCCTTGGCTCCTGTCACTCCGAGTCCTCCCTTTGTGACTGTTTAGTTGTGCTTGATGCGCTGCTCCCGGTCATTGAAGAATTCACAGCGAACGACTGAAGGATGGAATATATCGACGATGGTTGGGTGCAAAGAGTGCTTATATCTTCATAAATTGAGCGGTATGATAATATTTGGATGTGGTGTGTTAACGTAGTATTTCATCATCAACCAAACGCGGCGTCCCATAAGAGTTCATATCGCCCCACCCATTTGTTATCAGATAGCGCCTTTGCGCTATTATCAAGTACAAGCCATTTCAAAGAGTAGGATTACTAAACAACAGCTAATATATTTTCGACTAATCACCTGTGCAATTACTTGGTTCAACGCGCGGTTTTGCGTAGTATATTTGGCTGACAAACTTACCGACATTCAACCCAAACTTAAAATATCTAATATAACTAACACCGTTCATTCGATGAGTTCTTGAGTAGACATTTTTCATAAGAAGTTAGTATTCTCTGTCATGAATAACAATGGCCATCTAGTAGTCAGTGTTTTACTTCTGAATTCGTGTATTTATTAACTTGTTATTCTTATCGTAGAAATTCAAAGTATAGTTGATCAAATAATAGATTTCGCATTTCGTCACTCTAAATCGTGTCATATATGATATTTAAGGCACAAAGGGGATTCAAAACTGCAGTGTGAAAAAAACTAAGAGGTTGGTGATGAATAGAATAAAAGTATGATTTTGGGGTGGATTCATATTATGCGACGTTCTATATTTATGATTGTTGATGATATAGAAATTTCAAGCAAATGTTTGACAACTTTTCTATTCACTGATACCTCCTGAGACTGCTTGCTAGACAAGAGTACGGGGAAACAAGAGTCAAATGTTCTTATTCATGAAATTCTCTCTAAAAAATATATTTTGATTTCTATATACAGTCGTATGTATTTTAGCTTAAGGTTGTGCGCTCAAACGTTTAGTGTTTTTTTAGACTCTTGAGGTCATATAATGTCAAGTTTGCTAAAAGATTGCATTAAATACTTTCACACGAAGAACTTATATGAAGTCTTAAGAGTGACTAAGAAGTGTGACAAAACTGAACGTAAATATACAATATGAAATATATCATCTTTTTATAGTTCGTAAAGCGTTCTATAAATTGTCTTTACTTCATCATCCTGATCGCCATGACAGTGACTCAAAGTCAGAGGCGACAAAACGTTTCCAAGTACTGTCTAGAGTCTATTCGTACATAGAAGATGACGAGAAACGTAAAGTCTATGATGAAACAGGTTGGTTCTCGATTTATAAAAATAGAATAATTTTAATTTTTAGGTGTTGTCGATGAAGACGATGAGATTACAGGCAAATCATATGATGATTGGGTTAAATACTGGCAACTTTTGTTCCCTAAAATCACAACTGCGCAAATAGATGACTACTGTAAAAAGTATATAGGAAGTGAACAGGAAACGGAAGATTTGATCAAGATCTACAATCGTTCTAAAGGTGATATGGATATTATAATGGAGTCTTTAATGCTCACGTCATATCGAGATGAAAGTCGAGTTCGCGGTCTTATTGATAAATTGATATCTAGTGGCAAAATTGATGCATATACGAAGTACACACATGAAAGACCTGAGAAAGCGAGGAGAAGAGCTAAACGAGCACTAGAGGAAGAAAAGTTGTTTGAAAAGGAACAGAACAATAAAAACAAAAAACAGATAGTTGATGTTAACGAAGATTTGGATACATTAGCTAAGGCAATTCAAGCACGACATGAAAATGCATTAAAATCATCAGAAAACTTTCTGGATAAGATTGCACAGAAATATAGTTCAAAGCAGCAGTCACCAGCTAGGAAAAAGCCTACTAAGGTTTCAAAAACTTCAAAGAAAAAGAAATAATTACCAGCTTGATGTATTTTTTATTCGAAATATTGAAAAATAACAGATATATAGAAAATACAATTTTACGACTGTTTCTGACTTTCGACTCTCTGGAATGAGACAAAAAACAAAACGGGTAACAAAAGGTTATAGCATTTTAGTGTATAATAAGGTAAATATCCTTTGAAAGACATTTCCACAAAAAGTTTATTATCAATTTGTTGTTAGAATGAGAACATTGTCATTACAACTTTGGACTATTCGGTTACTTCGCATATCATACGATACAGTCCTAATTCGTTATAGGTATATTGTCAACTTGGTTCTTTCAAATGAAGGGAAAAAGGATGTGATTACTATTAAGTAACTTCATATAGTTGACACTATACCATAAATATGACTTTCGTACTTCGGATCATTTGTTCACAAGTAGTTAGTGGTGAACAACCTCACGCGTAACACTACTTGTTCACAAAAACTGATAAAAGGTAGTAACCACAAAGTTTCCAAATAAAATCCATATAACAACACCGCGTATATAATGCATCATATTTACTACATAGTGGTTAAACGTAATAACTTTTCGTTAAAAAGGTATGACTATGAGGAGATTACTACTTGTTCGCCACGAAACACGCCCTGATCCGGAAAAATTGAAGCCAACCAACCAGGTGATAGGATAGTCTTCCTCTTTCTGCTAAAGGCCTTTAGTGTTAATTCAGACTCACTCATTTCTAGCCTCAAGGTTAAAACAGTTAAGCTATCGTGTTAAGGTCTTAACGTAGGTCGAGACAAGTTTTCTCCTGTATATTACTGGATAGACAGATCAAGGACGTAAAACAACTTTAAACTCGTTATATCACGATACCTTTTAAGAATATAAAGACGTCGGGAACTAGTGTGAAAATGTTGGTAAGTGAAAGGAATGTTAGAAATGCATTGACAATGAAACATAACCTTTTAGAGAGGGATGTCGCTATCAATAACACAGATTTACGTTTGTACTGTTGATATGAAAAACAATAGATGAGTAACTATATTTCCGGACTTACAGCTTGAATGAAGTCCATCACCTTAACGGGATCAGATCCTGAAGCAATATCGATCAAATCGATTGGCACGCTGTATTGATTCATTGAATTTGGACGGATATTTTGGTCGCTTTGGTAGCGAAATAACGGAATAGCATCCTATCAACAAAATACGGATGATGATGAAGTGATTTTTCATTAAATGTAGCACTCCACATCAATGTGGTGGTTTGTTGATAGCGCCTCTAGCGTTATTCATCTGTAAAAGCTGTGATAAGTCGAAAATTTGCCTGATGTTTTCAGGTTTACTACTATCGCGCTTTCTGTGTGTGCTGGATAATTATGACAGCCATTATTTAAAAAAGAAATTTCAATCAACAGGATTCTCTGATGATAATAACAAAATTTCTATCCTTTTTCATGGATCGAAAGTGCCAACGATCACTAGTTTGACGAGATAACTGTAAGCATCTAGACTATACTTAGTATCTCAGTCAATCTCAATGATTGTTTCATACACATATCTTTAAGAACATCTGAAATAATCCACCAGGTTTTGGTGCCACCCAACGTCTTAGGTTGCTTATGTCGCTCATGAAATTTTTTAGAGTTGGGAGACTAATGGGTCTTCTATTCAGGTTCGTAGTCAGTAGCAGGCAACTGGAGGGTTGTTGTAGAGCGGTACCTTAAGGCTTCCCTCTTGTCATTCCAGTCGCCTATTTTGGACTGCTATACCGTCTTTTCTAGATAGTCCCACTAACAGTTGACTCTGATATTGTCTTTTTTTGAAAAATAAACTGTTTAGTGCTACACCTACTGATGCTCACTACTGTTTATAATTAGTACCTTTTGTTATACCAAAGCATTTCCGTGCGTGGAACATACTTACTTTGGCACTCCAATGTAATAGTATATATGTGTGTTAAATAAAACGAAAAAAAATTCTCTCACGTTCTTGCTTTCCCATTTATTTAATCAGCACACATATAAACTGTCAACTAGAATTAAATCTAGGAGTGGCTGTTGTTTTCATACTTAATGCTATATTTACACCTGGAAGATCGTCAAACGTCATTGACGAGTCTCCTGGTAGGCGAAAGACGGATCGCACGAATTGCCCACATCTTTTCGTCAGGGTCACTTGGGTTCTGTTTATGGGTTTTAAAGAGAAGATACACCAACGACACAAGGTTCTCAGGCCTTAGTTAGTGAGTGTTATCCAGTCTGACAATGAGTGGACTTGCACTGGTTGTGGATGGGAAGGGAGATGAAGTAAGAGTAAGCTAAATTTAAAATGGGTTGAATTTCAAATCCCACTGAAAGTCTTAGGCAGCAACTTTTCATTTTAATATGTCATTCATTTAGCAAGTATAGATTCGTGTATCCGGCTTCAGCTGCACTTTATGTGAGAGGGATAGTGATATTACCTCGGTGCCTGAACTCAAAAAGGTGGAGTGTGACTTGGACTTGCTACCTATTGGTTGGTATTCGAATGCCTTAACCGTAAAACTAGCGTTTGAACAACTATGCTGTCATATAAACCGAAGTATACTATAAAATAAGCGTTAATTAAACTTACATTTTCATGTACATCATTTTCCAATTCTGACCACTGAAATAAAAGTGCTTCAGTTGGTGGACCAAATACATTGAAATCAATTATTTGAATACGCATTTTACCATCGTCCTATACATAAGTTAAAAAGAAATCACTTACCGATGATTCTCTGTATAAGTCAACTGTATCTAGATTAATAAATGAATTAAAACAATATTTTTAGAAAAAAAACTAAAATTTACAGTTTTCTGATTTGAAACGATTTCTTATTTTTCGATTAAAGAATTCCACAAGGTCGTATTTAATGTTTTCTATCTGTTCTTCAATTATTTTGAAATAGGCATCACATTTCCGTTGAGAAATTGCTTGAGGATTGAAAATAAAAACACATTAAATGAAAAATTGAAATACTATATCATGCTCACAACGAAAAATGTCTGCGCCATATCGTGAACTGACGTGTACACCGCTGGCTGCTGTGATCAGTAGTCTAGAGGTCCAGCGTTCGCGCGTCGTAAGTTATGAGTGACTAAGTTTGTATTTTTGTTTTAAACTGACATTTCAGTTGGTAAAAAATTTGTCATGCTGAACACTAAGAAATGCAGCATGTTGCATGGAACGATATTAAGTAGGGAGCAGTTCGAAACAAAGAACCATGAAACAGTTGTCTTATAGTATGATGGAGTTCCTAAGCAGTGCTCATCAAATAACTAATATATATATTCCTCTTATCATAACCTCTTATTTCGCCTATTGGCTAATGTTATACGATTTACCATTCTTAACTTATTCCCAATTTATTAGTTACAGTATCCCATACAACCACTTTTGGCTTGATCTTGTATAATTATTATTCTTCATGTTATGGTGTGATGCGGTCTCATCTGCGGGTATATAAAACCAAGTATGTCTAAAATATACGATTCATACAGTCGAGGCTTTTATTTGTGTTCTGGACTGAACGGGCTAGGCGAAAAGTTACTATACAGAGGACCAATAAGGATTCAGAGTTGAATCAAGACTGCTTGTGCTAGTTAACGCACCATTGGTTTAACATAGGGTCAAGGTTACATAAGTCGGTGTTCGGATTGGGAATTTTGTCACGTGACATTTTGACGAGTCATAACAAATAACAAGATGTAAACGTTAAGTAAGGAATGATTTAATGCCACTTGTAGTCTTAGGACAACACTGAGTGGAAGTCTTCAAAAAGTGACTACTAAGGGGATTAGGAACACTTAGGACTCCGGAGCTCATTTAAAACACTGATTTCAAATAAGTTTTCGAATTCCTCGAAGAGATCTCTGCATGCCTGCCAACTAAGTTTACGTGTTGGGTGTTTTTATTAACATAAAGGCTATGTATTCAGGACTATATGACAAAGCCTTGAGAAGTTAAAGACTCTCCTTTATGCTCTTGAGTGCATCAGAAAAATTCAGGATGATAAATGGACAAAAGTAACAAATTTACTTGCCAAATTTAACAACTGGTTTATTGTTGCACAAACTTCAAACTTGACAATACTAATTTGTAACCTGAGGATAATAATATAGTATAGACACTTAGTATCAAAGGCATTTTGTTGTCGATAAAAGCTTGCCCCATCTGCTGTTGATTCGTATAAAACATATGTGGTCCATTATCTCGTATGTTACTGAGCGGCATTGATTTCTAGGATTATGGTGTATGTCGACTAACATAAAAGTCTAGTTGGGATCTTTACGACTCCTACATCATGTATGACAACTTAAATATCATATAAAATAATAGGACAAACAACACACAAGGACGTAACACTACGATTAACTTACCAATAAGGACTTTTGATTTAATGAAACATCGGAATTCTTCCTCAGGACGAAAGTCATACCACCTTCGTAGAACAAGAATTGGTTTGGAATTGAAAAGACAGCAATTTTTCTCTGCAGGAGTATCTGTACACAGAGCGAAACTAAAGGAACGCAAAATATCGGTCGTTATGTTTGTACAAATATACACATTACGGAGCAGTCAAGTCATGTGCTGCGAAATCTGAAGATTTAAGGAGTAGGTAAATATCGGAAAACGTTTTGCACTTCAGTGACCCATCGCAAGACATCCAAGATGCATCCTATAGCAATTAAATATGTTGAAATACAACACTTACAGATGGGGCGCTCCAATTTAACTTCGGAAATACAACACCACCTAACTTCCGGATGATACTTTTCAACTGAGATTCGAACTGAGGAAATTCTGGTCTCTTAACGCAATATTTTTCAAATTTTGTCGTGCTGATAATTAACTCTGAGTTTTTTTCATCGGTATCGGAATAGTCTGACCAAATGCCCTGAAATTATAACAATTTTTAGGAAAATATGAGACGATTATGAGTAAAACACGATATTGGTATCAATACCAAGCTTAGATTTTATAGTTTAAAATAAATTGAACATTGAGTAGACAGGTTAGTACTTAATTATGTCTGTTACTCTTCGTGGAGGAGCACAGGCTTTTCACCAGTATTGTCTATCCAACTCTGTCCTGGGCACTCCTTTTCATGTCTGCTTCCGATTCCTGACGCAGTGTATTTCTTGGTCTTCCGCTTTTTCGTTTCCCTACAGGATTCCATGTTAGTGCTTGCCTCCTGACTCAATCTGATGATTTCCGCAAAGTATATTCTATCCACCTCCAACGTCTTCCCCTAATTTCCTCGTCTGGTGGAATCTGGTTTGTTCTCTCCCACAGTGGGTTGTTGATGATGGTATCTGGTCAACAAAGAACATTGAGTATCTTACGTGGGCAGTTGTTTATAAATACTTGTACTATACAGCCTCTGCCAAGGAAGTATTACTCACTGCCTTCTCGTGGCGAGGGTGTTCTTTACGAAAATGAGAGGACGAAAAGCGAATGTCCGGCGCTTTAACCGGATTTCAAATCAGTGGTGCACATGGGCTCCAGTATCCTGCGGGAACAAATGGCGTATGAACCAATTTTCGGTCACCGGCTACCATGGGACTGCATCTCCTCACGATGCTCCACTGCCTTGAGGGTTAGACTATTAGGTCAAAGGCTCGGGGTGTGGCCCCTAAGATAACCACCTTCTTCCGTTTAGGCACCCGGGCGGTATTGCAGCCCACACACAATTAATGAACTGAACTGTCTATGATCATGTAAACTAATTCTCTTGCTTCGACGAACATTCAAATGATTCAATTATTATTATTATTTTCCACATTATTCACCCTCTTTTATACTTATACAGCGGCTCGTCTATGGTGGAAATTCGACTGTATCTAAACGTTCTCGAGTCACTGTCGGGTTGAAAATTGTATGTTACCACCGAATATGAGTACTGAAGCAGTTTTTCTGAAACCACGTGCACCAGTCAAACTGGCTGCCTTCAACGTTCGCACACTTATGCAGGTTGGTCAACAGATAGGGCTGACCATGTCCTTGGAAAGTCTTAATATTGATGTTTGCTGTCTATCCGAGATCCGTATGCAAGACTCTGGTGAAGTACTACAAATTCGCTCTCCATCTGTCGCTTCAAAAGGCTTGTTTTACGTGCGCTTATCCGGGGACCCTGTGGCATCTTCGTCTGGTCTTGCTGGCGTTGGTGTCGCACTAAGCGCTAGAGCTGAGGCAGCACTAATCGATTGGATCCCCATTAACAGTTGGTTATGTTCTGTTAGATTAGAGAGTTCCATCAAAGTGAGAAGAAATCGGCGTGAGAAACGATGTCTTTTCGTCATCTCCGCCTATGCCCCGACAGATTGCAGCCCGGATGCAATCAAAGATGAGTTTTACCACCAATGATCTGTTCTCCAGAAAGTGCGTTCGACAGATATTGTAGTACTAGCCGGAGACTTGAATGCTCAGGTCGGGCGTCTAGGCACAGAATAGAGTCGTTTAGGTGGCCGATGGGGACTTGTTAGTCGCAGGACAGATAATGGGGACCGTCTACTGCAACTGTGCACAGACCACAACCTGTTTCTGGCTAGCACTAACTTTCGGCACAGTCATCACCGATATGCCACCTGGCGTCCTCCCTCTGCATCTCAAGCCTGGACTCAGATTGATCACATCGCGATCAGCTACCGCCGGCGTGGTTGTGTACAAGACTGCCGCTCCTTTTGGAGTACCTATCTGGACTCTAGCCTCTAGGCTAGCTACCATTCCACCGAAAAGTATAGATGAGCATTGGTTGAAATTGCATGACGCCATGAAAATGACGGGTACAGTCAGTTGTGGGTTTGCGAAACGTCCCGCTTTTAAGCACTGGGTTTTTTCTGGTTCCTTACAACTCATTGAAGCCCGTCGGTCTACTCCGGGTGACCGTGAGTTTGACCACAAACGAAGGTTGTTACGTAGTGAAATTGGGCAAAACTTGCGTAAGGACCGAGAAGCCTGGCGGTTGGAGCGTGCTAATGAGCTGGAAGCAGCAGCTGCATCTGGTAACTACCGGAAGCTCTTCCAACTCATCCAAGTCACTGGCAGCAAGAAGTCTGGTGTGAGTGAAACAATCTGCGAGGATGATGGGATGCCAATCACTAACATCCATCCGCAAGGAACTCCAACTCTTGAAACGTTACAAATCACCTGGCCCAGATGACTTACCTCCGGCTCTTTTTAAAGATGGTGGTGACTTTTTGACTAAGGAATTGACGACGTTGTTTATAAAGGTTTCGGAACTAGAGAGTGTACCAACGTCATGGAATGAGTCGATAGTTGTCCCTATCTTTAAAAACAGTTCATGTCGTTCCTGTAACAACTATCGGGGTATAAGTCTACTTCCGATTGCGTTCAAGCTATTGGCTTCCGTCATACTTCGTAGGTTGTTCAAAACCCGAGAAAGATTGACTCGCGAGAAGCAGGCTGGGTTTCGTTTTGGTCGAGGATGTATTGATTATATCTTCACCCTCCGCCAAATGTTAGAACACCATCATACTTATCACAGGCCAACAATCGTAGTATTTCTTGACATTAGGGCTGCCTTCGATTCGTTGGACAGGACTGTTCTCTGGGATTGTCTATTGAAGAAGGGTGTGCCTGAGAAGTTTATTAGCATCTTAAAAGCCCTATATAAAAACACCTCAGGCAGAGTGAGGGCATACAACCACCTCTCTCCATCGTTCCATTCGAGCAGTGGGGTTGGACAGGGTTGCCAAATCTCGCCATTCCTCTTCAATGTTGCCATCGATGACATTCTGGAAACAGCCCTGATGAATGTAAGTAATGGCGGTGTGGATCTGTTGCCTGGAGAAAGACTTCCCGACCTTGAGTATGTGGATGATATTGTCTTACTGTGCAATAATGCACAAACCATGAAATCCGCACTTAATCAGTTGGCAATCAGTGTACGTAGGTATGGTATGTGCTTTGCACCTTCGAAGTGTAAAGTACTTCTACAAGACTGGCAGGATTCTAATCCTGTACTCACCCTGGATGGTGAGCAGATAGAAGTAGTCGAGAAGTTCGTGTATCTGGGTAGCTGCATAAGTGCTGGTGGGGGTGTGAGTGATGAGATCAATGCACGTATAGTGAAAGCCAGAGCGTCTTATGCCAATCTGGGCCATCTTTGGCGCCTTCACGATGTTAGTCTGGCTGTAAAAGGTCGGATTTACAACGCGTCGGTGAGAGCAGTTTTGCTCTATGCTTGTGAAACCTGGCCTTGAGGACGTTAGACGACTCTCTGTGTTCGATCATCGTTGTCTCCGACGGATTGCTGACATTCAGTGGCAACACCATGTCAGTAATTCAGAGGTTCGGCATCGTGTGTTCGGGCACAGAGATGATAATTCAATTGGTGTCAACATCTTGAAACACCGACTTCGGTGGCTTGGACATGTTCTACGAATGTCGTCCCAGAGAATTCCATGTCGTGCATTATTTGCCGACTCTGGGACTGGTTGGAAAAAGCGGAGAGGTGGTCGGTGCATGACATGGTGTCGTGGCATGAAAGAAAGCTGCAAAGGACTGGCTTGTGTTGGTCCTTCACGACTCCCTGGTTGGGGTCTGAGAGATGGTGCTACACGATGACTAGAAACGTTATCAGATATGGCTCAGAATAGAAGCCAGTGGCGATCCTGCTGTAACCTTCTTTTACTTTCTTCATAAAGAGTGGTTGTATCTTCCTTAACTGAAAGATTTCTTCTGACTGTACCCTTCTGTTCCCCTACTATTGCTATTATTATTACACTACCTTACACAAATCTCTTCGTTATTGTTTTTTCTTAAATTATTATTTTTTTTTACGTTCCTCACTTTTTTCTTCTTAGATCTTCATTGTTTTGTGTGGCGCATATATATTGGCGCACTCCTGTACCAATATATATATATATGTGTTCAAATAAATAAATAAATAATAAACTTGTATATTCTTGATGATGGTTGTGGTAGTTTTCCACGTTTCGGCTCCGTAAAGTAGAACTGTCTTGACGTTCGTTCTGAAGATTCTGACTTTGATTTATGTTGACAGTTGTTTTGAGTCCTATATGTCCTTCAATTGTAAAATTTCTGCCCTTGATTTACCAATCCTTGCCTTTATGTCTGCATTAGATCATCCTTAATCATCGACGATGCTACTCAGATACGTGAATGTTTCTACCTGTTCCAGAGTTTCCCCACCAAGTGTGACTGGATTGGTGTTCTCCGTGTTGTATTTGAGGATCTTGCTTTTCTCTTTGTGTATCTTGAGGCCTACTGATGCAGAGGCTGCTGCTACATTAGTTGTCTTCATCCACATTTTTTTCGTAGCTATGGGATAGAAGGGTTCGGTCATCTGCGAAGTCCAAATATTCTAATTGATTTCGAGGTATTCATTGTATTCCGCGTTTCCTCTCAGATGTCGAGGCATCCATAATCCAGTCGACCACCGGAAGAAAGGGTGAGTGTAAGCAGCCTTGTCCGACCGCGGTCCTCACTTGGAATGTCTGACAGCTTTTCTCCATTCACGACTTTGCACTGCAGTCCGTCGTATGAATTACGGATGATATCGACGATTTTCTCAGGTACTTCATAGTATCGAAGAAGGTTCTCCTATCTGCACTATCAAATGCTTTCTCATAATCAAAGAAGTTGATGCATATTGACGAGCTTCACTTAATTGATTGTTCAACGATTACCCGTAGTATCGCGATTCGGTCTGTGCACGACCGATCCTTACGGAATCCAGCCTGTTGATCTCGAATTTGTGCGTTTACTGGGTCTTTCATCCGGTTCAGCAACGCTCTGTTGAAAGCATTTTCTGGTACTGACAGTATTGCGATGTTTCTGTAATTCTCGCATTTGCTCGAGTCTTTCTTTGGTATCTTGATGAGATATCCTTCTTTCCAGTCCGTCGGTACTCGTTCTTCCTCCCAAATCTTCCTGAATAGAATGCGGAGCATGTTTGCAGTTACCACTATGTTTGTCTTCCGTGCTTCAGCTGGTATTTTTGTCATATCCTGCTGCTTTCTCAATCTTGATTTATCTGATGGCCATCCTGATATCTTCGATCGTCGGTAGGGTGACAACTATACGAAGGTCTGTAAGTGCTGTTCAATGTTTGATGGATTCAATAGAGGTGGTCTATTCAAGAGTTCCTTGAAGTATTTCACCCATCTGTTCCTTTGTTCTTGAATCTCGGTGATTGTCTTACCTTATTTGTGCTAGACTGCTTTCTCTGGTTTACTATATTTCCCTGCCAGCTTCCTTGTTGTGTCATATAGTTGTTTCACATTTCCTTCCTTTGCAGCTTTTTCCGCTGTCGCTCTTTCATGTATTTTTGTTTGTCGGCTCTTATTCTCCTCTTTACTTACTTATTTGCTTCTGAGTATTCAGTTTTATCTTGACTTTTTCTGTTTTTGTTCAACTGTTGTTAATTGCTGTCTTCTTGATCTTCCTTTCTTCAATCTTGTCTCGGATTTCCATAGATCCATTCCTTACCATGATGCTTCTTGCCTCCCAACACCTAAAATGTTGAAGTTAGTGCTTCTTTGATCCCTTTCTAGTTGTCCTCCATAGTAGTTTCTTCTTCTTTCAGTAGATCCCGTACGGCTTGGAACCTGTTGTTGAGAGTTAACTTAAATTCGTTGAGTTTGTCAGTCTGTCGAAGGAAGGCTGTATTGAACCTCTCCTGGTTCACGCGTCCTCCATTGACCTTGTGAATTTTTCGCTAATGCAAATATGATCGATCTGGTTCTTTGTAGTGTGATCTCGTGAGACCCATGTAGCTTTGTGTATGTGTTTGAGGGAGAATATTGTGCCACCTATAACCATTTTGTTGGATGCACATAGATTTGCAAATCTCTCACCATTTTCGTTCCTTTCTCCTAGTCAGTTCATGTCGTGCCATGATATCTTCTTACTCGATGTTTTCCATTCCGACTTTGACGTTTAAGTCTCACATCAGGATTGTCAGGTTTTTTCTTGGGCACTTCGCTACGATCGATTACAGCCTTTTACAAAACTGATCTTCATTGTCTTCATTGCTATTATTGTTCGGTGCATAACACTGGATAACATTCATTGTGATTCCCTTCTTCTTTGTTTCGAGTGATGCTTTGATGACCCTGGACCCATGAGATTCCCATCCTATAAGTATCAGAGCAACTCCCTGAGTGTGCAGAGCATCTTCCTGGTGACCAGAGTACAGCAGCATCTCTCCCGTACCTAACGTTTGCTGTACAGCTTGGGTCTAATGGGTCTCAATTATTCCGACTACTTCCAAGTTGTATCGCCTCACTTTCGTTTATATTTGACTGGTTTTCCCGGTCTCCCACATTGTCCGGATATTCCATGTACCTATATTAATTGTTTCTGTGGTTGTTAGAAGGACCAACGGCCTCGTGACTTTGGAAGAATTTCGGATTTCATCATGAAGCGTCATAATTTTTCTTTCAACTCCCAGGTCAGAGTTTAAATGGTTTAATCTGTTTCTTCTGGTTGGCGTTTTTTTTAGCAAGGTTTGTTTTTCTACACGATAGGGTTACCGACCCCATGCTCAACCCTACTCCTTTACCAGAGCTTGGAATCGGCAGTTATATCCCAGCGAATAGAAAAATTGTATTTCGGACGTTTTGTGACCCAATATAAGCAACTTCAGAGTAAATAAATGAATTGAATAAACAAGTTTAAATGGTCATGAATGCGTACGGAGGGCAGGAAACTAGGTATTAAATTGCTGTTATGCAGTAAACAATCATGTATCACATAAGGAGTTCGATGTAGCAAATCGCTGACCAAAATCCAAGCAGTAAACGATTTCACAGACATCCAAAACTAGTTAAAGCATATCGTAACACAACTTTACATAATGATTCATCCCGACTAAAGCTGAATAAAATATCGTATTTAATCGTAAAGATGCGGTTCAATTGTTTATCGACTCGGATCTCAAGCATTCAACGTGGATTCGAACCCACTTCGTTTGATTTATTTATGCTAACTGAGTAATATTTTGGCCCCGAACAACGTATGGGACGTAAAGCTCAATGATTGGGCCACTATGCATTTTATAAGTAGCATGAAAAAAACGTTTTTGTAACTCACATCATTGTCTAGGTCCGACAGATGTCCGTTTGTTGGTTTTGCACTAAAAATATACATTCAAAGGAAGAATATTTATAGTTTGTAACAAAGACGCGCTAAGCTCGGCATTTTAAATAAATAATTAAACATTAACGCTTGGTAAATGGAAAGTATAACAACCTAAATTTAAAGAATAAAGAGCAGCAACTTTATTTTCTACACAGAATTTACTGGAACTATGAAAAGTGTATATACAACATAACATTAAATCTCACCTAATAGAAATAATAATAATATAGTATTATTGCATTTGTTTCATGCTATATTGTCTTCATTTTTTCTTCGCCTACTATCTTCATGTCGCAAAATACTACATAATGATATCAATTATTGGAAATTAGATATTGCAATGCACTACACTTGATTATCGCAGTGAACTGTTAATCCGATCTACGTGTATGACCATTTGTATGTCTTGGTTCGTTTGCCTAAGTTGTAGTAGCACACGAGTGCGCCAGACAGATAAGTGCTTGACATAAAAGAAATTAGGTATGTTTCAAAAACAAACAAAATGTATAATACGATGCGCAAGAGGGAGTGGTCTGGAAACTAATTTCCTCGAATAGTCTGTCGTACTTTGCCATGTTATTTTTTGTGTATAAGGGAGTCATTTTATTGCAGAAAATATCTATTTTCCCAGCCAGTAGTTTTGCTTTTGCTTTCAAATTATTTGAGGGACCGCACAAAAACGTGGCAGACAAATCAAGAATGAATTTAGATAGGTGGAAGAAATTTAACAGGCATGGCTAACTCATTAGTTTTAGTCTAACCATTTAATTAATTGGGTATGTAGAGAGGAAATAAAAGAATGAATGAAAACTACATAATTTCTAATATATTTACGGCAATTACCTTTTAGGGAGAATGAATTCGTCATTTGTCAGTGAAGCTATGAGGTCATCTGGGAGATTTATAAATATACTGTAAGAGAATTTATCAGTGATATCATTTACATAGTGTACCTTTCTTGAGTGTAAGATTCAAAAGTGTGGTACCATGAATTAAAAGCGCACTGTTCAACATCTGCTATTTTCATTAAAAAACCTGAACAAAAAACATCAACTGTATTGAGATACCATACAGAATGAAAATGAAACTGGTCAACAAAAACTCACCAATTTTCATGAACTTCACTTGTAGATGCAGTCCGGCAGGCCTATGAGATGATCACACGTATATAATGTAAAGTAAAATCAACCCCAAATGACCTGGTACGGTCGAGGGTGAGGAGATTCCACCCTCTCTTGAAATGCTCTCACATGGCAACGCGTATACAGCCAGTGTCAGGGAAGTTCTGCTCACTATCTTCTCACAGTGGGGGTGTTATTTATAAAATTTAGAGGACGAAAAGCGAATGTCCGGCGTTTTAACCGGGTTAACGGATATGGATGATCTATCTATGGGAATTGGGAAACTAGGATTCAAAACCAATAGTGCACATGAGTCCCAGGATCCTGAGGGAAAAATTGAGTATGAACTTATAGCTGACCAACGGCTACCATGGGACTACATCTCTCGACGTTGCTCCACTGCCTTATAGACTAGACCTCTAGGTCAGAGGCTCGGGAAGTGGCCCTCCAAGAAGATCATCTGCCTCGGTTTTTGCGCCCGGGCAGTATCTCACCCCTCACACAAATCGAATGATTTATGTGGCAGATATCTATTTGGTGCCTTCTTGTACCTATGTTTATGTGTTTAAATAAAACAAATAAATAATCAGTTTACCAACAAACCAGGTGTTAAGTACAAGTTGAATCGTGGTAAGTTTTAGCTAGATGATAGTAAAGGTCACTAGGTTAACGCAGCTAGTATGAAAACACTAAATGTTTAGAAATCTATTTCAATCAGGTCTGAACAAGATAAATGAAGGGAGTAATGGGCATCATCATAATGCCTAGGAAGTAATCATGAGTATCATTAGGGGTACGCGCATAGACTATAGGTAATATTGGGATATGGTTGAAAAGTCGGTCACTAGTGGAAGTGTGGTGTGAGCTACTTATATATGATGCGAGTTAAAACGTAATGTCTGGCAGCAGAAGGTGAGGGGAAGATCAAGAAAAGAAGAGCGAAAACACAAATGGAATTTGTAAGAAAACGCATGAACAATGGATTGGTGTTTGCAACAGAAACAGTCAAGTTTGATGCATGAATATTTTGCAAATTGACGATTCACTATATGGTATTCAGATTTGATTGAGACAGTCTGTAATTGTTGTGCCAAATACATTTGGTTGTCCCCACCCGTGTTCTTGTTCACTACAGAAGGACCTCTGAGAATAAGGAACCACTGACCCACTCTCAGATAAAGCCACTACAACAGCAAAAAGTATGTCGACTGAGAACTCAACTATTGCTTATTTGTTCTTTAACCACTGACAGAATGAATGGGTGGTTGCCATCAGTCAATTTAGTGAGTCTACAAATGACCCATACTGACAAAGGCAGTACACTTAAGTGGTTGAACTTTAGATGACTCTGAGGATAGTAGAATGAAGCCATAATGGATGGGAGAGCTTTGAGAGACGCTAAAGTGACCTTAAGACAAATAACCTTAGTGAGGTTAAAAGGGGGTTATAAATTAGTATGAGTAATTAGGATTATGATTTAAAGTTAGAATTTAGGGTTAAGAATTAAAGAGTTTTTGCCACAAATCGACAACAGCTATAATACTGGGATACTATTTGCACATAAGTATAGATAAATTTAGCGTCGAAATCTGTTGTATCTGCGTCGCTTATTACTTATACTTGAAAAAACAACGATAAACCAATGCAATTCCCACGATATGAAGTAAGAACATCAAGACTGGCACTGAAGAAAATTTATTGACCCCAAAACACGACGACGAACCTAGTCAAAAATACACTAATATATTGATCATACACCTATTTCGTTTATTAATTAGAATAAAACCACACGTATGAAAAATACCAAGCGTTATAACAAATCACATGCTGCATGTCATGCAGATCGTAGTTCACGTTAACTTAATACGGGGATATCGTACCTCGAATAAACATCAGTTATTTATTTACTCTCTCGACCGTAGCTGCTACCTTGACGTGGTGGTCGGGCTTGCCTGTCGCGATGACCGAACCGAGCTATATTGGATGGAACATGTTCCTGTAGGTTCTACCATGCCAGATTACGATGCTCCACTTTCTTGTGGGTTAGACCTTTAGGTCTAAGCTCCCTAAGATAACCACCTGCTTCGGTTTGGGCACCCGGGCAGTATCACAGCCCACACACACACACAAATGATGAACCCTCTATGTCTATGGGAACTACTTTTCTCGCTTCGAAAAACAATAAATTGATTCAAATTATTATCATTACTATTATTATTATTTCCCACATTATTCACCCTCTTTTATACTGATACAGCGGCTCGTCTATGGTGGAAATTCGACTGTATCTAAACGTTCTCGAGTCACTGTCGGGTTGAAAATTGTATGTTACCACCGAATATGAGTACTGAAGCAGTTTTTCTGAAACCACGTGCACCAGTCAAACTGGCTGCCTTCAACGTTCGCACACTTATGCAGGTTGGTCAACAGATAGGGCTGACCATGTCCTTGGAAAGTCTTAATATTGATGTTTGCTGTCTATCCGAGATCCGTATGCAAGACTCTGGTGAAGTACTACAAATTCGCTCTCCATCTGTCGCTTCAAAAGGCTTGTTTTACGTGCGCTTATCCGGGGACCCTGTGGCATCTTCGTCTGGTCTTGCTGGCGTTGGTGTCGCACTAAGCGCTAGAGCTGAGGCAGCACTAATCGATTGGATCCCCATTAACAGTTGGTTATGTTCTGTTAGATTAGAGAGTTCCATCAAAGTGAGAAGAAATCGGCGTGAGAAACGATGTCTTTTCGTCATCTCCGCCTATGCCCCGACAGATTGCAGCCCGGATGCAATCAAAGATGAGTTTTACCACCAATGATCTGTTCTCCAGAAAGTGCGTTCGACAGATATTGTAGTACTAGCCGGAGACTTGAATGCTCAGGTCGGGCGTCTAGGCACAGAATAGAGTCGTTTAGGTGGCCGATGGGGACTTGTTAGTCGCAGGACAGATAATGGGGACCGTCTACTGCAACTGTGCACAGACCACAACCTGTTTCTGGCTAGCACTAACTTTCGGCACAGTCATCACCGATATGCCACCTGGCGTCCTCCCTCTGCATCTCAAGCCTGGACTCAGATTGATCACATCGCGATCAGCTACCGCCGGCGTGGTTGTGTACAAGACTGCCGCTCCTTTTGGAGTACCTATCTGGACTCTAGCCTCTAGGCTAGCTACCATTCCACCGAAAAGTATAGATGAGCATTGGTTGAAATTGCATGACGCCATGAAAATGACGGGTACAGTCAGTTGTGGGTTTGCGAAACGTCCCGCTTTTAAGCACTGGGTTTTTTCTGGTTCCTTACAACTCATTGAAGCCCGTCGGTCTACTCCGGGTGACCGTGAGTTTGACCACAAACGAAGGTTGTTACGTAGTGAAATTGGGCAAAACTTGCGTAAGGACCGAGAAGCCTGGCGGTTGGAGCGTGCTAATGAGCTGGAAGCAGCAGCTGCATCTGGTAACTACCGGAAGCTCTTCCAACTCATCCAAGTCACTGGCAGCAAGAAGTCTGGTGTGAGTGAAACAATCTGCGAGGATGATGGGATGCCAATCACTAACATCCATCCGCAAGGAACTCCAACTCTTGAAACGTTACAAATCACCTGGCCCAGATGACTTACCTCCGGCTCTTTTTAAAGATGGTGGTGACTTTTTGACTAAGGAATTGACGACGTTGTTTATAAAGGTTTCGGAACTAGAGAGTGTACCAACGTCATGGAATGAGTCGATAGTTGTCCCTATCTTTAAAAACAGTTCATGTCGTTCCTGTAACAACTATCGGGGTATAAGTCTACTTCCGATTGCGTTCAAGCTATTGGCTTCCGTCATACTTCGTAGGTTGTTCGAAACCCGAGAAAGATTGACTCGCGAGGAGCAGGCTGGGTTTCGTTTTGGTCGAGGATGTATTGATTATATCTTCACCCTCCGCCAAATGTTAGAACACCATCATACTTATCACAGGCCAACAATCGTAGTATTTCTTGACATTAGGGCTGCCTTCGATTCGTTGGACAGGACTGTTCTCTGGGATTGTCTATTGAAGAAGGGTGTGCCTGAGAAGTTTATTAGCATTATTTGCCGACTCTGGGAATGGTTGGAAAAAGCGGAGAGGTGGTCGGTGCATGACATGGTGTCGTGGCATGAAAGAAAGCTGCAAAGGACTGGCTTGTGTTGGTCCTTCACGACTCCCTGGTTGGGGTCTGCGAGATGGTGCTACACGATGACTAGAGACGTTATCAGATATGGCTCAGAATAGAAGCCAGTGGCGATCCTGCTGTAACCTTCTTTTACTTTCTTCATAAAGAGTGGTTGTGTCTCCCTTAAGTGAAAGATTTTTTTCCGATTGCACCTTTCCGTCCCCTCGTTACTACCACACTACCTTACACCAATCTCTTCGTTATTGTTCTCTTTTTTTTGCGCTCCTTAGCTATTTTTTCTATTTCTCTTGGAGTTCTCATTGTTTTGTGTGGTGCATATATATTGACGCTCTCTTGTACCAATATTCATGTGTTCAAATAAATAAACCATGCCAGATAGGTCGATTTGAGAACGGCAAGATTAAAACCAGCAACTCAACTGAGAGCGAAATCGTACTGGTGACTGTAGAGGGGTGTGACAACAGTAAGGTGTTTCCCTCGGAAAATCAGCATCTGCAGCGATGCTGATTCCCACAAGGGAGAAAGGGATTGGAAAAGGTCGACCCTAAAAATATCATGCCTCACTTTACTTCACGAATTTCCGTCTCCGGAGCTAACACGTTGAAAAGCTATAAAAACCCCGTGCGTGACCTGCTTCAAGCAGTTGTCCTTTGAGCTCTGAGGTAACGCTCCCAGGTCTTTAAGACCAACACTTATCCAACTTCATTTTAAGGTTCCTCAAGAAATACCCTTTCACGGTGTGGGAAGCCGGGAAGTGACATCAGCCATTTAGGTCGACTGGAAGTCGTGGGAAACCGAAGTGTGGCTGACGGTCAGATGAACTGATCCCTAAAATGTTCTCCCCATCGATCCAATCTCCTGGATTGAGAATGAATAATAGATCGATCTTCTGAGATAGTTTCGCTAACAGTTGGGTTCCTAATACCGGTTTCCTTAACAAGTTCGAACAGTTGTCTACTGTTACCTATTGACACTGCCTTTTCCATCTCGAGCTTTCGCTACCCATCACTGTCCGCGATCATTGCGTAGCCTGACTCCGCTCTTCGTCATGTTCAGAGTCAGATAGGATGAGTTTTCGAGCACCCATCAGTGCGGTAGGTGCTGCTGAGATCCAGTATTTTCCCCTAACCTTATGGTTTACCTTAGGAGATATCACTGCTGTTTCCACAGCTTTTCGGATATCATTCCACGCTGTCTCGGGGTGAGCATCACTTACATGGCTGCGGGATTTGAATCGACAACTGCATCTCTGTGTTGATGTGATACGGCAACTCGAACTGATGTACGTACGTACGGAGTTCGACGTTGTTACTGACCGACTTATTTACTCTGAAGAAGCGGCTTATATAAGTCACGAAACGTCGGAAATACAATTTTCCACTCATTAGAACATAACAGGAAAATTATTATTAAACATTACATGCAAATGAATCAGTGATATAACGAATAGAATATCACAATAGAAAGGAAATATTACTCTAAATAGTCATCACATTGTACAAGAAACAATAATGTCCACCAAAGGTGAAACTCTATTTTATGGACGACCTTTGAACGTATGTTTAAGTGACCTTGAGAACATTAGCTAATCAGAAGAGAGTTAGTATAAAATAAAAACATATTAAAAAAACTGATGAATTACAATGATTTAAGAACTTGTTGAGGTTTGATAAAGGTTTAGAAGTTTTGAAATCATAGTGCATGCGGTATAAGAACTCGTCCATATGGCTCCATAATAATCGTCCTCTGGAGCCGTGGTACTTACCCAATCTTCCTTGATAAAAACGTCCTTTATTGTATTTTCGCTTTCTAACTACTGCCTCATCTATTTCCACTATCT